CCCTCCCTTAATAATGTCCTTATCTCCCCACATATTATCCAAAACCTTATTTCCGTTTGCCAGTTTACGCGTGATAATAACTGCTCTATTGAATTTGACGCATCGGCCTTGGAAATTTACAAATGACGCATCAGCATCGGCCTTTGGAATTGTGTATGACAAGAAACATATATTATCATCGTGAAATTATACTTTTGGCCCTTAAATTAACACCAACATCATAAAAGATAAAAAAGGACTAATTGTGAAAAGATACACATAAAAGGACCACTGGAGTAATATTTGATAATAGAAGTCTAAATATGGAAATTCACTTGTTATAAAGGACCAATTATGGAATTTACTCTTACTTTTTGATGTTACATTTTTATTAGTTATACTTACTCATTTAATAATGTCAATCATGTCAATGTATAATACTAAAAAATGTGAAATGTCCATATGCATTGTCACATTAACCGAATGCAAAGTCATATTTTAAGATATAAACATAAAACTTCTATTTTTAGTATTTTTTCTATGTTTTACTCCAATTTAAGGTGATTTGTTTAGTACTTTTAAAATACCAAAAGACAACAGAATTTTGAATAGAATATATAAAAATAGTTTCAGTGTTTCCTGTGGTTTGGAAAAAATAGGTAGGAATGCCTCATTGCCCCCGTCTATTTTCAAAACCTAATCATAAAACCCTAACCGTTTTAAAAGGTTGCACAATTATCTCATCGGACTATTTTTCGTTCATTTTTTCGGAACAGAAGGGACATTGATGCTCATTTTTCGAACCACAAAGGTACGAGAGACCATTTCCATAATTTTTGTTCATTTTTAATTCTTTTTTATAAAATGTTTTTTATAGTGTTTCTAAATTCTAATTAGTTTAAAGGAAACAACTGAAAGAAAAAATTAACATATAAATCAAATAAGTTATATGTCTCAAGTTAAACATTCTTATTTTTCTATCAAATAAAATAAAAAATAGAAAAGGGATATAAAATAAAAGAAAAATAGAAAAAAGACATGAAAAAATGAAAAAAAGATACAAGGCTAACAGTAGTGACCCGAAAAGCGGCTTAGTAGTTAGCTGTTATTTTAATAAAAATAAAATAATATTTATTTACCCAAAAATATCAATTATTTGTAAAGTTATCAATTTTAAATAAAAATTATATTTTTGTGTAGATCTCATAAAATGGTGACCAACAGTATATAATTTATTAAATTTGGAATTTCGTGTAAAATGTAGTGAGTAAAATAGATGTTATAGTTCAATAAATAAATATAAAGATTTTATAATATAAAAATAATATAGTACTAAACCTTTTGTGAAATTAATATAGTCATGCCACCTTTTGTTTTGAATAATTTTTTATATGGTTTTTAAATATACAAATTTTATTTTTTAATTCCACCCTAATTCTCAAATAAATTGAATTAAAAATAATTTTAGTCAAATATCTTAAATTATAGCAGACCTTTTAAAGTGGGATGGAGGGAGTACAATTTACAAATTTTGATTAAATGAGCAATAGTTAAGTAATATTCTCTTTGTCTCAATTTAAATCGTTTGTTTCGGTTTACTATGTTTGACTGAAATTATTTTCAAGATAATTTGTTTAAGGATTGGTGTGAAACTATTTTTTGGCTTTGAGTGTGATTAAATAAAGCAAAATGAATTTCTAAACGGTCTGTGCTTATTTAATAATTAAGTAGCAGTTAGTTAATCAATGCAACTTTTGACGCTGAGTTGATGGTCTCTTTGGAAACAACCTCTCTACTTTTGAGTAGGGGTAAGATCTACGTACGCACACTCTCCCTGGACACTACTCTTGTGCGATTCAACTAGGTTGTTGTTGTGGTGTGTAACTAAAAAAATAAAAATTACATATTCAAATGCTATATCAAAAGTTCCACGAAAAAGAGGTAATATGACTATATTAATTCATCAAGTGACTAAAGAAAATTCAGAAAAAATGTGAATTAAGTTTGAGTTTATAAATAATTAACGTACAACCTAATTTAATTTATAGGTGTAAAATTGTAGGTGCAAAATCTAAAAATAATATTTATATATAAAATAAAAAACTACATGAAAAATTCAAAAAATTGCTGCTGGGTACCCCTAATTTTGGGATAAAGACTAGCAGGTCCCATTGTTTTTCAAAATATACTCCGAGGTACCTTAAGATATTCGAAAACTGACTCCGGGGTGACAATCCGTCATTCTCTCCGTTAACGTTTCTTCTCCGTTACCCTCCTCCTCCTCTTCTCAAAAAATTGCTGCCAGGTACCCCTTATTTTCGGATAAAGACTGGCAGGTCCCATTCTTTTCTTCTTCTTCCTCTTTTCTTCTTTTCTTCTTCTTTCTCCTGCCTTCCAGAGTTCCAGTGACCTCCATGTTAATCGGTTTAGTCGTTGTGCCCACGCCTTAGAGGGGGGTGAATAAGGCGTTTAAAAACTTTTCGGAGTTTAATAAAAACGGTGTTGGCAAATGCGGAAGCAATAAATAAAACGCAAAAATAAAAGCGTAAATAAAATACACACCGAATTTATACTGGTTCGGGAAACCCCTACTCCAGTACCTCGAGGCTCCTCCTCAAGGATTTCCGAATCCACTAAGTCTCGGCCTCTTGAACTCCGTCAAAGCACCGCACTAGTTTTGGCAAACAACCCTTGCCAATAGGATTCACTCCGAGATTTCACAACGGCTATCTCAAACCGTTTACAACGAAGATTTAACGGCTATCTTCTACCGTTCCCCCAAGGATTTCAAAGGATATCCTTGAACCTTTACCCAAGGATTTATACGGCTATCCTTAACCGTTACAACGTGAGAATTTGACGGCTATTCTCGACCGTAAGAAGATGTGTTTGAAGAACACAAAAGTAGATTCTACACAACGGCTAGAATATTAAAATGAAGAACAAAACTTAGCCGGTGTAGAAGGAAAGTATACTCTCTCAAAAATACAATTCAAACTTATGAATATGAGAGTATATAACTAGAAACACAAGCTCANAGGATTTCAAAGGCTATCCTTGAACCTTTACCCAAGGATTTATACGGCTATCCTTAACCGTTACAACGTGAGAATTTGACGGCTATTCTCGACCGTAAGAAGATGTGTTTGAAGAACACAAAAGTAGATTCTACACAACGGCTAGAATATTAAAATGAAGAACAAAACTTAGCCGGTGTAGAAGGAAAGTATACTCTCTCAAAAATACAATTCAAACTTATGAATATGAGAGTATATAACTGGAAACACAAGCTCAAAGTGTGTATATAAAAATCAGGAATTTAAGGCTATTGAAATAGCCAAAATATTGAAAATAATTAATAAAAGAATGAACACACTTAGAATATAAAGGGAGGATGTTTAGAGCTCTGTTTCTTTTTGAAATATGAAGGATTAGGCTTGTATTTATAGTGGAAGATGTTAATTAGCCGTTGGGAGGTGATTAGGGTTGATTTAATTCAAATTGGCAATTTTGCTACAGTGCTGTAACAGATCCGGTACCCTTCACGGTAGGGGGGTCCGTGTCATCCGGTACCTAGGTACCGTGACACGGTACGGCCTACCGTGTGGGGGTACCGTATAGGCCAAAATAAGTTTTCGCCTCTGGCGGTACCGGGTTAGGACGGGGTGGCCTACCGTCTGTGCCTACCGTACGGTACCTGGGTACCGTCTCACGGTATATGGGTACCGTGTAGGCGGTATACCCTACCGTCTGGGGGTACCGTGCCACTGTCCTGATTTTTCCAAAATTCCCGTAATCCTTCGTGTTTGAGTTTAAAACCTTTTAGATATTTGAAAATGTTTATGTGATGGTTTTAAACATATTTTGTGAGTGCTTTTGAGCTTGTGAATATAGGTATATAAAGTCATATCCTTACATTGGTTTCTACCTATATTCTACGCTAGTTTAGTGTTTCGACTTCATTCTTGAGTATCAAATCTTAATGGATTCTTGTTTTCCTGAAACACTTAAACAAACGTTAAGCTCTTATATTGTTTGTTAACATCAAAACATGAGACTTAGCAAACCAAGGCTAACACTCCATTCCTCTCCCACCCACGTTTTTTTCTTCTTTTACCTTTTCTTTTGTTTTTTTCTTCTATTATAATTATTATTATTTGTTAATAATTATTATAATTAATTACTTCATAATTATTATTTTCTTATTCTATTATTATTATTAATTTTTTGATTTATTATTATTACTATTATTATTAAAAATTAATTGTTAGTTTTACCACTCTTTTCTATAAAAACACTAATTGTTATTTAGAAAAATAGCACTTATTATAAAATAACACTTATTGTTAATACTATTATTTATTTTAAGCAATTAATTAGTAATTTTACTTCTATACTTTTTTAAAAAATACCACTAGTTATTATTATTACTTCATATTAATTACTCCTCTGTTCTAGAGTATTTGTCTACTTTTGTTTTTTTGGTCAAAATTGATAATATTATGTATTTCCTATTATTTCCTTAATTATTATTAAAAGTTAATTGCAAAGTAGTAATTTTATTACTCTATTTTTAAGAAATACGGAGTAACAATAATTATTATTTAGAAAAATAGTACTCCGCATTAGTCATTGATAGTCGTCATTGGTAATGGTGTCATGGTAAATCGAGAAAACAAGAGGACTTGAGAAAATAATAAGATGAAACAATAAAAATAGTGTTAAATTTAATGTCTTGTAAAGATAATATGAAACAATAAAAATAGTGTTAAATTTAATATTATTATGAATTACGACGTATAATTTATAACCAAGTGAATAAATAATTTTAATTTTATAAATGATACGTAAGTTCCCTCTTCAGTCACAAACATCATATTTTAAATTTCCATGAGTAAATTTTTTTAAAAAATGGGACATGCCAGTCTTTATTCGAAAATAAGGGGTACCTGGCAGCAATTTTTTGAGAAGAGGAGGAGGAGGAGGATAACGGAGAAGAAATGTTAACGGAGAGAATGACGGATTGTCACCCCGGAGTCAGTTTTCGAATATCTTAAGGTACCTCGGAGTATATTTTGAAAAACAATGGGACTTGCTAGTCTTTATCCCAAAATTAGGGGTACCCAGCAGCAATTTTTTGTGAAAAATTCTATAAAACAATAAGTGATAATAATATATTATTTTATGAAATAAATATTAAAAATAAGCAAACAAAGTGATTTAAGTTTGATCATGTAAATAGTTTTTGGAAGATCTACAGAGGACGGAGCGAGTATTAACTTAGCATGATAGGAAGGCTCTCACTTCATCCAAGCAATAAACCAATGGGAAAAAGACTAAAGTTGGGGTAAACATATAAGATATGAGAAAAAATCGAAAGTAGGAGTAAAATATTGAAAATATACCATTATAGAAGTTCCATATTTTTATTCACGAAATAGGAGTTAAAATGCATTTACATTGCCCATCATGACCAGGTACATTATCAAAATGTATAGTAAAATGCACATGTATAATGTCACATTAGCACAATGCGAACTTCTATTTAGTGAATATAAACATGAAACTTCTATTTTGATACTTTCTACGGAGTATATGTTTTAGTCCTATTTACGGTGATTTCTTATAAGATATACCAAAATAAGAGTTCGATATGTCAATTTCTAAAATATAAGTTAAAATGCATATACAATGTTAATCATGCTAATATATAATATCAAAAAGTATTATGAAATGTCTTTATACAGTGTCACATTAACATAGAGCAAACTCCTATTTTAGGGAAAAAACATGAAGTTCTAATTTTGATACTTTCTCTATATTTTTTTAAATTTAGGGTAATTTCTTTAAATCCAATAAAGCAACCAAATTTTTTGAAATTCTAAAGAAAAACAGAGGCTTTTTAACTTCCAAGAATCTAGAATGAGAATGATAGTCATAAACTCATAAAATGATGCATATATGGATCATATACGGAGTAATCTATGTATATTGTTGCGTGCGTCCTTTCCCACACCCTGTTTTTAAATGCATTTTTTCTTCTTGACAAACTCGCAGCCGAAGCCACATGTACAACTACTTCCATAGTTTCGTTTCCTATCATTGATGAGACGTTGCATTGTAAAGGAGACACTGAAGAATAAATATTAATAGTTTTTTGACATTGTAAAAATTGGTAAAGTCTACTAAGGATCAACTTTAGATTGGGAAACACATTTCTTTTGGGTTTAATTTTTTTCGTTTTACTTCAACTTTTAGCTGCTTTCAACATTGAAATAAAAAATATTTATGTGTGTTTTCCATGTTATTCTAAATGCCATCATTATAAATTTATTAGAATAAATTTAGGAAATGAGTATCTTACATCTCGATTCATAATATCAAACCCTCAAATACCTATATAAATGAATCATGTTTTATTGATTTTGATTTTTTATTTTTTAACGAGTAGCCTTTAATTTTCTTTCTAATAATGTAATTTTATAATTATTTTTAGTGAAATTTGTTTGATAAAATGTGTAGTATTAAAATATAATATCTTTATGTCTAATAAATATTTTAAGTATAATGAAAATAATACACATTTAACATATTATTAAATATTTGTGTTAGAAAATAAAAGGTTAGCAAGCAAAAGGTATTTTATTATTCTAACAACTGTTAATCACATTGGTATTTTATCATGATTATTCAATGTAAAATTTCTTACACATGCATGTCGTGTAAGACACATATGGTATTTTATTATTCTAACAACTGTTAACATTTTATTTTCTAAAATAACTAGATTTTAATCCATGCTATGCATGGTAAAAAATATTTTTTATTATAAAGAAATAAAAACAATAAATTATCATAATGTAGGCTTACAGGAAATGAGCATATTCTAAAATTGTTCCACATCTGAACACATTTACAATAAATTTAAATAATAAAATTGCTTGGAGTTTTAGGGGAAAAAAGGTACATTATTCCAAATACTCTGTATATGTTACCAAATCACAAATTTTGGAAAATTTCTTTGTCAATCACATTGGTAGTGTGGGCCGTTCCCAAATTAAAATATTCAGTTCTTGGTGATTGGTCACACGTGAGATGAAAACATTTTTTAACCGAAACGCAAACCATATTAACTTTAGAAAATGTCAATACAAACAACACAAAACAAAACCTCAACCCATACTCTTTCTAGCAATTAATGTACTCCGTATGTGTTAACTTGCCATTTAATCCAATCAATACATTCCTTGTAATGCCACGAAAACCAGTCTAGAAGAATTAACTACGTAAATCGCCGATTTCGACTGTGTGGGCCCCGCCGGCCTGAAATATAAAAATATTAGAAAAAATATTTTGAACACATCGTTGCATTCCATTTATTTTTCCAAGTTCAAAAATGTGATCAGTTTCGAAATCGGACTCGTTTGGAAAACTACCCAAAATTTAAACAGATAAACTATTTCTTCTAGGACAAGAATTTTATCCCAAAACCACATTCATTCCCCCAAATGATTCTCAGGATTCCTCCCATTAAATCAATACATATCCTCTATCCCAACACATCACCTCCTCACCCTCTTGTCCAAGCAACCCCCAACACCACCACCTTCTTCCCATCTCCCTCTCTTGGATTCTTATGGTTGACCTTGAAGGGTGAAGGGATGGATGCAACCACTCCGTTCATGCATTGTACCCCTAAATAAATGGTCTTGAACACTCTATACTTTCATCTTCAAAGTGATAAAGGAATCCCTGCAACTTAGCTTCTCCTTCTCCAAACATTTTCCACCATTAATGGAGTTTTGGGAAGAAAACTCTAGGTTAGTGAGTATGTTCCATTCTTATCGTTATTATACTCATTTTGACGCCCTTCTTACGTCATATACCTCTGCGATACCAAGATTCGAAGAGAAGACCTCAAGACAAGGAAAGCTAGAAGTAGATAGTGACATCCGTTCGTTGACCGTACGTGAGGTGTTAAGATCATTGTGTTCCCCTATGAACTCTAAGGTCTGTACCCAAGACTCGTTCCGAAGTTAGTCATTCTATGTTAGCCATACCGATAGTTTTGATAAATCGCTCAATTTGATATCCGTGAATCATCGACACCGGAGAATACTCGAAAATGTGCCAAAAAGACCCTATAATACGCCCAACCAACTTGATGACTCAAATTAGATTATATATAATTAATATCAATACTTTTGGAACCATCCCGTAGCTTAAAACATACCCAAAAACACGTTGGAACCATCAGGGGATCGATCCCCGGAGCTGGATCGATCACCTGACGATGGAAAAGAGCCCCAGAAAATGTTTTTGAGGTTTGGGGGATTTATCCACATGCCTAGATCGATCCTCTGGAGTAAATTTGGTTAAAATGCATATTTTTCATTCGGGGGGTCGATCACCCCTTCGGGGATCGATCACCCGACGTTCCAACTCAAATTTGAACCGTTTTTCAATATTGTATGGATGATAAATCTTTGGTATTTGTTTGATTGATTTATATCCATATTTTAACTTCCAAAAATACTAAAAATGAACGTTTTGGACGATAAGAACTCTAATACCAAAATTGATTATATCAAATCATATTTTCCATATGTGTTACTACCTCCGTCCTAGTGTATTTGTGTAGTTTGACTTTTTCGAGTTAAACTGGACAAACTTTGAACTCCAATTACTCTTAATTTATATTGCATATTAGCATAATGAATTACAATTTTGAAAGTTCTCAATACGATAAATGCAATAAAGTCATTTTTATGTTAAAAGACATTACGGTTTTTATTTAATTGAAGCTCAAAGTTTGTGCAGTTTGACTCGAAAAAGTCAAACTGGAGAAATACACTGGGACAGAGAGAGTATTAACCAAACGATATCATTGGACGGGTTGGACTAGAAGAACTATAACACTATATTATGCGGTTTAAACTTGAGATCCTCACATGATCGAATTCATGAACATGATTAAATGATGTCTAATGATTAAAAGAATATTATGGATGATATTATATTAGAGACTTTATGGTAAAACTTTATATGCCACAATCCGTAAAAGTGATGGCTATGATGGCGGTACACCAAAAAGGTATTCTTGGATAGTTTAAGACTAGATTATTTTTAGTGGTAAATAGTATGGATTTGAGCGTATAGATGTGGGTGATATTAGGAGTTGAGTATGTACGTACATTAGGTCCAGACTGATCAGGCGACTAGGTATCACTCAACCCGTGCATGCGTGCGGAACCAGAAGAGTATTTATACCCAGACTTGGAAAGGCCACTGAACAAATTCTGAACCTGAAGAGAAGATGCTCGGACCTAGACTCAGACAGGGGAAATCTTATCGAGTCTACCTTTACGGAGAATGACTCAGGATGGCGTGAGGATATATTAATAATGGTTGAAAATAAGGGATGTCACTATTATCGTATAGTGATCGGTTAAATGAACGATGTTGAATTACTTTATGTTATGGATTAATTTCTATTAGAAATACTCTCTCTATGAAATGATGGAACTGATTTATCAAATATATATAAATAAATTATATTTGACAATAATACCCTTTATGTTTCATAAGTACTTTGGATACGTATTATTATACGAAGAGATGTTCTTACACCTTGTCGTAAAATGAAGAATGTTGAAATTTTATAATTGAAGGGTTCATAAAGAAGATAAAGTGGATTTTCTTAAATTAAAGGGTTTAAAAGGGTATTGATTCCCGTATGCATGTGAATGTGTGTCATAAATTATTCTATAGAATCTACGTTGTGGTACCACTCAGCGGTTTCGCTGAGCACGTAGTTGTCTTTGTTGTGTGAATGTGCGTAGGTAATAAGTGTGGCATCCATCCAGAAGATGCTGAGGCGGGAGAGTTGGCAGAAGGATGCAGGAACTGCTTTTAATAATTCAAAGTATTTGGGGACTGAACCCAATTATGCAAATATGTTGAATCTTATTTAAGCTTCAGCAACGATTAAATTACCCCAAAAAAATATTTTTTCATGTTTGAGGAGACTATGTTTCAAATGATTTTAAATTACTGTTTGTACTACTTTTAAAAGTTTATGAAATGTTGCTTTACCAAATTGCTAGCGCTCTGGTCCGCCAACCCGCGTGAACCAGGTTATGCGAATCGGGGTGTTACATTCCTTGGCATTATGATCAGCTTTTCCATGTATCTTAGAATTTATGCATTTCCAAATAGCATAGCAGCAAGCAGCATCAGTAGTTATAGCATAGCTAACAACTAAGATAGATATGTTATTGAAAATGTGCTTGGCAAATAAGCATGAGCAGAATAAATGGTCAATACCCTAAGCACCTTGGTCATAAAGGAGACATCTAATATCAACATGGTGTACGCGTGACTTAATTCTTGACTTGAACATCATATTGCCGGTTGACACTATTACATAGGATCTTAGTATGTACTTCCTCCGTCCTATAATGATCTTCCGAGAGCACTATTCCAATTTCACGGAAATTTATATTTATTTGTGTTTTTTCGTGACCTATATGATAAAATAAAATATTCTTGTCACCACTTGTTTTGTTGAACTTTTGGTGTAGTTTTTAAATATGTATGTTTTATTTTTTATTTCTATACCAATATTTATATAAAATAGATTGAAAAAACTTGGGATTTTTCTTCGTTTTGCGAACCGGGAAGATTATTATAGGACGAAGAGGGTACCTGAGTAGCTAAAAGAGCAGCATCATACTTTCTAGGAAATATCTCTGTGCCATTTATTAATTAATCCCTTAAGCAACTCCTGAACATGTGAATTTAAATCAGGTAGTGGTCCACTCCTTAGTTTATACTCGTAGTGAACACTTGTGGACTATACACATCTTACTTTGCACTTGACACTCACTATTTTCTAGAAAAATTAAATGTAAAAAATAAAGTGGAGACTATTAGACTATGACATAATCCCATAATGAAATACTCCTTCCGTTCCACAAAACCCTTCCCATTTTGTTTTTTTTGAAAATCCCCTAAAACACTTCTACTTTCTATTAAAAACCCACTTTTACCCTTACTTTTTCATACCCTACCTATCACATCATACTTTTTCTCTAATAACTAAACTATCACATCTTACTTTTACCCATCACATCAGGGGCAAAATTGGAAAGTCAACCAAAATTACATTTTCCTTATTTTTGCCAAAAGTCAAAAGTGGAAGAGTTTAAAGGAATGGAGGAAGTAACTTTTTATTCAAATAAGAAATTTTATTAATAAAAAAGATAGGGGAATCACAACTTATGTGACTCCAAAAGAGTCCAAGCACAAATCGCATTCGCAAGAGACTAAAGCTTGAATACTTATGAGTACATCCAAATAAAAATATAACAAAAAACAAATGCCCATAAGTATGAGTTCTGAAAAAATATTTACGGAGCAAAAGAGAAGTGATGCTCAACTTGGTAGTATCATTGCCTCCCAAAACAATCACTGTCCAGTAATTGCTACTGACGTTGCTAGGACTGGCTAGTTATTCCTCATCAAGTAGCTAGAAGCTGGAATCAGTGGCGGAGGCAGGATCGAATCCTCGCGGGGGCAAAATTACGGTCATGAGGAAGCACAAATTCATCTAAAAATACGGAGTAACAAAAAATTCTAATAATAGTGCCAACTTTAATAGGAAAAGAGTAAATTTACATACAACTATTTAAGTACCTTTTATTTGTGTAATGAGGAAATATTCTTTTGGGGCCGTAGAATATTTTTTCGAGATGCCAAGAGCATTTTGCTAAGTATTTTATGGTATCTCTAATTTCAAATGCATAAGTATTAATTACTTTTTGTAATCCCAGATTAGCAATAGTTTCATCATCTAAAACCACACTTTCTTTCTCCAAAGAAGTTTTTTCCTTGTCTTTATCATTTACCAAAGATAAATTCTTTAGTTGTCTAATTACAAATTTTTCCATCTCAAGAATTTCTAATTTGTAACAGTATAAATAAATCATTAATGAAACAAATAACAATTTGTTGTAATTTAACTCTAATACTCCCTCTATACCTAAAAGATTAACACAGTTTAAATTTTTGGGTCAAGCTGTGTCAGGCTTTGACCGTGAATTATGGAAAAAATATACTCCCTCCGTCCCCAATTTGATTACAAATTGGGGTCTACGAGGAGAAATATCTCACTTTTTGAAATCATTTTATTTACAAATTGGTTTATCGATAAGAAATAAAAATTATATATTAAAAAACTATGTCAAAAGTTCTACAAAACAAGAAGTGACAAGAACATTTTTTCCTCAAATACTAAATGAAATTGCGTAAACAAACAAAAGTTATCGAGAGAAGAGAGAGAGAAAAATTGTAATCAAATTGGGGACGGAGGGAGTATTTAATAAATTTAGTAAAATTTAATTTTATTTTAAAATATATTTTTAAAATATCAAATTTTTATAATATTTAATTATTTTAAGTTATATTTAATTCCTAGTCAAATAATATCATAGGTTGACCAAAAAGTTCAAACTGTGGCAATCTTTTAAAGACGAAGAGAGTACTAACTAAATTCAAAGTACTACTTTTAGCAAATACGGAGTATTCAAAAATTGAAACACAACACTAAGAATAAAAAAGTAATTAAACAAAAAATTAAAACATGAATAAGGAACACCTAGTTTGAAAGTCGCTGTTGAGGCCAGCTCTGGAAATTTTCACTTTTTGCGTGACAACAATGTTCTACTTGCAACATCGCTATTGGGAACCATTCTGCCAACCCATGGTTTGAAAGTCGGTTACGCTCTAAGAGGGGCATGAATTAGGGTGTTTAAAAGTTTTTCGTAAAAACAAAAATTAGGCGCAAAAAGAATAACGAAAATAGAGCAAGAAATGTAAGACAATTAAAAGTACGACACAATCGATTTTATACTGGTTCAGGAACTCACTACTCCAGTACCTCGAGGCTCCCCCTCAAGGACTTAACCTCCACCAACTTGTTTGGCTTCACTAAGAAGACTCAAACGTGGTTTGGCAAACAACCTTTGTCAATAAGCAAATGAGATTTTACAACGGCTATCTCGACCGCTTACAAGCCGAAGATTTAAAGGCTATCTTCAACCTTATAACACAAAGTGGATTTAAAGGATATCCACACCTTTTACAAACCAATAGAAATGGTTGTTGCTTCTTGTTGAGTGTGAAGCCAGGAAGCTAGGTGGAAGCTAACAGGAAATTGGCAGGAAGCTACCTAGAAGCTTACGGCTTAATCATTGTCTCCCTAACTAATCTCTATTTAAGAGATGCTAATATGCTTGTAATTGTGGTGCAACAACAAATAATAAAATCCTCCTAGTTGCCCCGTGTGGACGTAGGTTGCAGTTGGCGGCCGAACCACGTTAAATCCTGTGTCATTTATTTTTCTGCAGTTGATTCGTGATTGTGTGTTGTTTCCGCGTGCGTTTATTCCCAACAAGTGGTATCGGAGCGTTGGTTCGTTAAGACAACGAAAATTCGATCAGCAGAAACTAATCAGAGGAGTGTCACCTGGGTTCTTTGGAGAAGAACTGTGTGCAGCAGCAGGAGCCGGAGTGAGGGCCGCTGCCGCCGGAGCACCACCATCCCCGACGATCCCCACGAAGCACTGCCGCAGCAGGAAGTGAGTCCCTTGAGACTCGCCGCCGCTGCCGCCTTCAATCGGGTAGATCCAGACCGCCGCCATCCGAATCGTGTCGCTGGTTCCAGGGGGACCGCAGTAAGCAAAGGAGCCGCTGCCGCCGTCACCCGCGCAGGAGCAGCCGCTGAGTCACCGCGAACTGCTGGTTCAAAAGAAGGTGAGAGGCTTGGGCATGTTGTTCGCTGTCATCCACGAACCGCCGTAGCCTCCCCTCGTCAAGCCGCCGCCGTCCAGTACAGATCGCCGCCACCGTTTGCCTTCCGACCGCCGCACGCAGGAGCAGCGGCAGAAGGAGCCATCGCCGTCGCAGGGGAATAGCCGCCGCGGTGAAGAGGGGCGAAGCCGACGCGTCTGACCAGCGTCCAAGCGCCGCCGTGTGTTGCTGTCTCCATCGCCCAATTGCCAAGAAAATTGCACAGTGGCCAAAAGAATGTGGAATGCTTTTGCTTGGCAGTAGTGGTGATTGATTGAATTTGGTGGGTGAGTGGGGCATGAAAGATTTGGGTGGATTTTGAAGTGTTGGTCCGAAAGAAAAAAAGAGGGGGGGGGGGGCATTGTGGAATTTTTTGGTGATAGTGGTGTGATTTTTTTGTGGGTGGTGTTAATTTTTTGTGTCCTAGATATCTTATCTCATAAAAATATCAAGATCTGGAATTAGTTGTATCGGGTATCTCATCTTGTTGTTGGAGATGATAGAAGATGGGAAGTTCCGAATTGAGAAGTTCGATGGTACAGATTTCAGTTGGTGGAGAATGCAAATTGAAGATTTGCTGGTTCAGAAAGATTTGGACGTGGTATTGGGTGACAAGCCAGAAAAGTTGTCAGATGCAGATTGGGCAGGTTTGGATCAGAAAGCAATGTCCGTGATCCGACTCTCGTTAACCAAGAATGATGCATTCAACATTCTGAAGGAGACGACAACGAAAGGCATAATGGAAGCGCTGTCTAACATGTACGAGAAGCCATCTGCGGCAAACAAAGTGTTTCTGATTAGAGAATTGGTGAACACAAGGATGAAAAATGACACTTCAGTTACCGAGCATATCATCAAGTTGAATTCGATCTTAGCCACACTTTTGTCAGTGGGCATTAAGTTCGATGATGAAGTTCAAGCTTTACTACTGTTATCGTCATTACCTGACACTTGGTCCGGAACTGTTACAGCAGTTACCAGTTCAGCGGGACCTGACGGATTCACTTTTGAGAAGATTCGTGACCTCGTTCTTGGCGAAGATGTCAGAAGAAGGAGTTCTGGTGAGTCTTCGAAAGAATCACTAAATATCGTCAGAGGCAGAGGAAATGACAGAGGTAGTGGGAGCAAGAACAGACGAAGGAGTCGATCGAAGACTCGGGATAGCTCAAGCGTAACATGCTGGAAGTGCAAGGAGGTGGGGCATTTCAGGAATCAGTGCCCGAAAGAGGATAAGCAAGTGAACATTGCTAGAGGCTCCGCGAGCGACGATGATTTGTTTATCTGTTGTGCGGAGAGCAGTGTA